GAACCAGAACCACTGTAGGTCAAAAACAGGATCTACTATAGTCAGTGCAAGACTGATAATCTGAGTTCTCTAAATCACACACTAGACAGTAGTCTGGTGGCCACATTTTTCACTAACTACACCTACTGGACAAAAGGCAGATCAATGTAAAGCACATTATGTGTGTATGTGCCTTCAAGTTGCCTGTCAATGTATGGTGACCCCATGAATTTCCTAGGCAAAGAATACTCAGAAGTGTTTTTGCCAGTTCCTTCCTATGAAATACAGCCTACATCACCTGGTATTCATTGGAGGTCTCCCAACCAAATTCTAATCAGGATTGACCCCACTTAGCTTCCAAATTCAGATGGGATCTGATGCCTTGTCTAAGTGGAAAGTTATTAAGGCATGAACCATGGTGACCAGATTGGTCTCCCACTCTCTCTTTATCTTGCTATACATGTTTTTAAAGGGTATTATTAATCTTTTTAGGCTGACTTAAATTCAGAAGTGATCACTTGACATTTTTATGAGCACCCTGAACTGATCTAAGGTCTGCCTTAGGATATTCTGCAGCACAATGGAAAATATTATGGATGCATCTCTCAGATTGTGAAATATAGAAAAAGCCTACTCTGTCAATTCCAGAGCCAATAGGGCAGTCAGAGATGGTTATATTGGTCATTGCTGGATATCCATAGGGTCAGCTGGCCCTACCATTCAGAAAAATGAGGCAGCCATGTCTATAGCAAATGCTGGGGTGGAGGACAGCAGTGTGTTTGTTACATGGCTCTTTGTGTGCCATGCACCTTGCCCATCACACCCTAAACTAACCTGCTACTCTTGAATGCAGTGCAGAATGCTATACAACCAACTAGTGTTGAAGGTACATGGTCAATCTGGTTGGCATTTGGGTATGTTACAAGCAAGAGTGCCACTTTCTCTGCTATCTCAGGCAGCAAAATGTCTGTGACCAACTCTCCCCCCCCCCCCCCCCCCGCCCCTGTTGAGTCAAAGACATCATGGTTTTCCATCTCTTTCTCCATCTTTCACCGGGCTGTTGGGTACTGCCTCAAGTAGTGTGCCAGGAATTCTTAGACTCTTGATAGCTATGTAGCTATGGTGGGAGCAAAATGAAATTTTGTTGTTGTTTTTAACTGCCCTCAAGTTGGCTCCGACTCATAGTGTCCTTGTGGATGAGACATCTCCAAGATCTCCTGTCCCCCATTGCTCCATTCAGATCCTCAGGCCCATGGCATCCCTGGTGGAGTCTATCCATCTGGCTGGTGGTCTTCATCTCTTGTTGCTACCTTCTACCTTCCCTAGCATTATTGTCTTTTCTAGTGAGTCATGCCTTCTCATGTGCCCCACAAAGAAGAATTCTGCCTCTCCTAATGAATTTTTCCTTCACTACTCAAATTTCTAGCATTGCTCAAAACTTCAGCTGAACATTTAGAAGTAAGAATGTAAGCATCCAAAGAAAAAAGGGAGAGGCAGTTACCGTGCTATGCAAACACAGCAAATGCAAGAGTTTAAGGTTGGAGTGATTTTCAGAGTCTCCCTTTCTGCAATGCTAGAAATTTGGGGACTGATGGTAAATTTTATGTGAGGGGACATAATCTGGAATATCAGTGCCCTTGTTTTAAAAGGTAAAAGTAGTCCCTTGACATGAATGTCTAGTTGTAACCAACTGTGATCACAGAGTAGTGCTCATCTCTGTTACTAAGCTGAAGAGTCAGCATTGTCAGAGACTACTCTGTGATCCTGTGGCCAGCATGATTGCACAGAACGTTGTTTACCTTCCCACCAAAGTGGTACCTATTTATCTACATGCATTTGCATGCTTTTGAACTGCTAAGTTGGCAGAAGCTGGAACTAGTGACAAGAGCTTACCCCATCATGCAGCATTTGGGCCTCAAACTGCCAACCTTCTGATCTTCCAGTCATCAGAATTGGTGTCTTAACCACTAAGCCACCACATCCCTAAATAAGGGGATACAGGTGCCAAAATAAGAAGGGCCCTTATTTTGCTCCCTGTGAAAGCTGAGGCATAGGGTGTTGTTATTATTATTATAATTATTATTATTTGTTTTATTTTCCTAGATGAACTTTAGAGGCACACTTTACCCTGTAATTCTCTTGATGACATCCCTGGTGAGTGGGCAAGTAATCTCTGACATTTGAAGGATAGCATCCCATTTAACAGCTCTGTCCTCTCCTTGGCTCTGTCAGTCAAGGGTCAGGGATGCAGTGGTGCCTTCTGGATAAACTCTGATGCCTGAGAGCTTCCCTGCCTTTGACAGCTGCATCTGGGAATCCTAGGCTTCTTTTACTCCCTTCCTCAGAGTATTGTCATTGTACATATAAAGGAGGAGCTTCTCAGTCTGCAGAATTAATGCAGCTTGGTACCACTTTAACTGTCATGGCTCCATCCTATGGAATCCTGGGATGTGAAGTTTGCTGTGGCACCAGAGCTCTCTCACAGAGAAGGCTAAGTATCTCACAAAACTACAAAACCCAGAATTTCATAGCACTGATCCATGGCAGTCAAAGCACTGTCAAGCTGTGTTCATCTGCAGTGTAGATGCAGCCTATGTTACATATATGTTGTGTGTGTGCGTACTGTGTACCTTCAAGTCTGACTTATGGTGATGCTAAGGCAAACATATCAGGGAGTTTTATTGGCAAGATGTGTTCAGAGGAGGTTGGTCATCATCTTCCCCTGAAACTGAGAGCATGTGACCTGTCCAAGGTCATCCAGTGGGTTTCATGGCCGAGCAGAGAATTGAA